GTTTTCATCGCAGTTCATAAGACAGACAAACTTGTTGCCATACAATTCATGTACGTGAGGTGAGGTAATTTAACGTTGGAATTAAGTAGCATCTGATCGAAAGTCCGCAACTTTATTCCAGCCATCGTCGAAGGCGACGTGGTTTCAGCGTTGCAGGCTTTTCGATATTGGATATATTGAAGGCACAGCTTGTACACACAGGTTGTTCAGATTGTGCTAGGAAGTATGAAATGTTAGATTATAATATCCTCAAATTATAGGTTCGTATGCAGCGTGTATTAGTTGATCATTAACTTCACCAAGACAAAATTTCACGTTGTGGAGCGCCGTTTCCGTTCTTCCAGTCGCGTAGAATGCCTTTTGCTGCAAAATCTTGTCTTGAAGGAGTAGTGTGCTGTGTAAATCCTCCTCATTTTTTGAACTGAGTGAAGCTTTGAGTGCATCAGTTACGAGACTTCTCGACTTGAGTAACGTATAATTGGTGTTCAAAATAAATTTGCATTAATTAATATTTTGCTATTATAGAACGTTGACTTCGCTTAAACTTTTGTTTTGTTCAGTTATGATTTTTGTGTCCATAACGAAACATAATAAGTAAATCTGTACTCGTTATTTTACATTTGGGTGTCCTAACGATGTCAAAATATTCTGTTGATATTTTATCCGTCCAAAATTCATAAGCCTTAAACTGTCTAGAGAAAATTTAGGCAGTGTAGGCAGAATTCACGTTAAAAATTTGTTTTAAAACAAAATAAATTAAGTCTGTTAATTTTTCAGATAGTAATTTAAATGTGAAATTAGTTTCAGAGACCGTTAGTAGGTCGTATGACAAAATCTGAATATGGGGGATTTACACCGAGTATTCTGTTTATTGCCGGTTTTATTTAACGCAGTGCAGAATAATTATTTGCTACCTGATAATAGACCGTTTCCATTCATATCTAAACGACTCATTTCAAGATGAAGTTGCTGGTTTCTGGTTGCGTTGGTCCGAAATTCTATGAAATTTTCTCGACCTCTGTCATGATAAGAAAGAAGCTATTTGCGAAATTAATTTAATTGGCACATTTAGTGCAATAGAAATGACGGCGTAGAGAACACGGTGCTAGGGAATGATACAATAATTTCGAGTCCAGATACCTCATATTTTTGTCTCATATGTCTCAAGTTTTCCGTATCGCTGTCCACTTTCAAGAATGCAATCTCCAGCTCAGAAATGATTTCATGTATCTGACTGTTAATATAGTGAGCAGCTTTAGCAATATTCTGCTGTATTATATGTAATTCATGAGGTTTAAGCCCATTAAGAAAGTCGTTTTTTATTTGAACCTCTGTATTGCAAAATAAGTATTGATCATTCAAATTTGGTGTCATGAGCTAATGGGCATAGATACTGCTGACTTATTTTCGTTGTTTGCAGAAGCTGAACAAGGCCATGTATCAAGCTCAAGAGCTATTAGCACGAATGAATGTCAGCGAAGACAGCAGCAACTATGCGATGATTCAGTCGTTGTTCAGTGATTGTGAGATCGCCAAGCGGGTAACATATCCGTCTCTTTTTTAGAATCTCTCAGGTTGTATATACAATTGTTTATTTTTGTCTTAGATGTTTCGGAAATTGATGTTAGAAGTGTCGGGCGGCAGTTTTTTGCCTACGAAAGTCAAGGAACTCACCGAAACGTTCACCGAGTCGTTCAACACTGAACTTCGGGTGCGAATTGCTCCATTCATTCTGTTGTCTAAAACTTATTTGTTTTATCATTTGTTTTCCAGAATTTCCGCAACTCAGTCGTGTTTTCCGCAGATCAAATGGAGCTGTCTTCCGTTAAAGATCCTGCGGTAAGTCTCACGAATTAACATAACTTAGGAAGGGTCTTTCGATTGTTGTTATATCCAAAAAAATCAAGGTCCAAAGACTGTTTAGAAGTCGACATTTGAAGTAACGAACACATTGCCCGTCGTTGAGGATTCACTGTAATAAGTGCAGCTGTGTCATGCCACTGCCACTACACTTATTGTGTATGCCCTGATGGTGCACAGTGTTGTCGTTGTCCAACGCGTCTGCTTTTTGATGAAGCCGCTTGACGTTGGATTGCTGTTGTGGCCATAGCCATCAAGTCTGAGAATATTTATCGGGAAGACTTTTTATTATCTCTTAATCGATATGATTTTCTCAGAATTTTAGACTGAGTTGCAACACTCCATTCTTCACTTAGAAACCGCCCTAAAAGAGATTTAATTCCCGTCCCGTTTTAAAATTAAATGAAAATACATAATGTAAATAGCATTAGATAGGATTTTCTGCAAAATTTTCCCTCGTAACAGTCCAGCAAAACGCCTCAACACAATTTAGGGTTGACTGTATCGATTGCGATAGAATTTGTATAGGTAAGTCCTACAAAAGGTTTAGTTTAAGAATTGAGGAACATCTATCCTACTCCGCCATTGCCATACAAAATAGTCTTAGATTGCATCATATGCCCTTTTAGGCGGACACGGTTTTCACACTGAGTATTTCGGCACATGACGGTTACAAAACTGGGTATGGTTATAAAAATGCCGTTCGAATTCGTTTTTTTAATACTTTCAAAACATGGTCCTAAAAGAGTACCTTTTTTCATAAAGAGTGTAGTTACATTGTAGCCACTGGAAAACGTATAGCGCGAAGCAGCGATCGATCCCCTAAAATTGTTTCAGAAACTTAATATCGTTAATGGACATCCGGGATTCCGTGATTTTATATTAATCACCACCTTGATACTCATTGCTGTCACGACGCTAACTCTGCTCCTTAGTCTCAACAGTACCTTTGTCGGTAATCGGTGTTTTTTGCGTAGGCAGACTTTCACTTATGGCATCTCCAATTTTCTATTATTATACTGATTTTTAGGTTTGCCTTGATGCAGCCTCAGGATCTTTCATGGAAGACACGGTTTCGTCTATTTCTGACATAATGTCAGAGTTCGCCTCGAACTTGCAGGACTGTCGAAGGTATTTAGCAGTTTTTGTATCTGAAATTAATCGGTTTCTGGGTAATATTTAATACGGTCGGCCTTGACTGTTTTTTACATGCTTTATACGGATATAACGCAGGTCGACCGTCTTTTCAAGTTATGCCAACGCGGAACATAAACAAGGCAAGTGAGAAAAAATGGGTGAAGTAAAAGATGAGGGTGATTAACATGAATAAGAATTATACCAGTCGGTTCTGAGGAGCTGTGGTACCACGAAAAAAGTGGTATGCTTTTGATTTCCAAGTACAGTGGTACCTCGAGTCACGAACTTAATTCGTTCTTTGACTCCGTTCGCGAGTCGAAATGTTCGCG